CTATTGTCTTGAACTTGCCACCCCCAAAAGCTGGACCTTGACCTTATAGCACCACTGACTCATAGGGCAGCCACCCCTCCTCTCATCTAAGGTATTGTTCCAGGTTTTGCTACTATCCTTTTAGACAATGTGCAAATTTCATTTATGACTTAGGAATGGATTTTCAAACTTCCTCTTTCTCTAATGCAGGGGATTAAATGCAGAGCCTTGTGCATGCTAGGTAAGTACCCTACACTCAGCTACACCTCCTGCCCTTTTACAAACATTTTACAGAGGAGCATGTATACTTTGAGACTTTTAGCTCACTCTTTTTAAAAATATATATCCCTATTTCTAAGTTAAATAAATCAGACACATGTTTAAATATCACATTTTCTTGTGTGAGAAACTGCAAGTGTAAATAAGGACCAAAATGGATGGTGGATATTAGGAAGTAGGAAGAAAATGTTCAAATAGGAAAGGAAACAAGGGAGGAGTGAGGGGGAAGAGGAAAAGGAAAAAAGGGAGGAAAAAAATGGAAACAAAGCTTTTGTAAGTGAGGGGAAGAACAGGTGAAGGGAGTGGAAGGGAATGGGGAAAAAGAAGAATCAAGATATCATGTACAGGTACAAATTCCCTATGATGAATGTGATCATTATGTATATAAAGAGTACCAATAAAATTAATTTTAAAAATAAAAATATGCCTATATATTATATAAAATATAAATATTATATATTACATATAATATATAAAGTTAAAATATATACCCACTTCAGTATTTTATTTAGAAATAAGCAGGGAAGTAGAAATAGATGACTGTTAATTAATAGTCATGCAGTCATTCCTTGAGTCAATAAATTCTTGGGGTCCATTGTTTTTGAAGGCCTCAATTGTGTTAGATATTGTGCAAGTTACACAGGTAAGATGTGACCTTAATTGATAGAAGAATTTTTAATTTCTCAAGGCAAAACAAACTCTACTTCTAAGACTTACTTTGCTCCCCATACTTCTGTTTGTTGTGTCACTACAGATCATCAAACTGGCTATTATAAAGATATATCACATTTTATTCATGCACTTGAGGACTTAAATTTATTTCTTGATTTCTGATTTTGTAAACAGTGCTATGAAAATTCTTTATTGTACATGTCTCCTGTTTATGTGCAGGTTTTTACTGGAGGTACAGAATACAGAATTTCTGGTTGTTTTTTTTTTTTTTTTGGTACTGGGGATTGAACTCGGGACCTTGAGCTTGTGAAGCAGGCAGCGGAACCACTAAGCTAAATCCCTGGCCAAATTTCTGGATTTTAACATTAAAATCTTTTAAGTTTAAAATAAAGTTCAACTTTAAAAGGTAATACCAGGGGCTGGGGATTTAGCTCAGTGGTGCTGCACCTGCCTTGGAAGTGCAAGGTCCTGAGTTCTATCCCCAGTACCAAAAAAAAAAAAGGTAACACCAAACCTTCTTAAGGGTGAAACCATGTCTCACTAACACCAGCGAGAGATCACTTGGAAACCCTCCAACAAGATATTGCCAGGCTTTAACATTTTTGCTAGTTGAATGGATATAAAATGGTGTTTCATTGTGGTTTTTATTTGCATTCTAACTTTTCTCACTATGCAATTTGTCTTTACTCATTCTTTGAAGAAAACCATTTTAAGATGTTTTGGTGAGGGGCTGGGGATTGAGCTCCGGGGTTCAGGCGCCTGCCTCGCAAGCGCAAGGTCTCGAGTTTGATCCCCGGAACCAAAAAAAGAGATGTTTTGGTGAATAAAACGTTCTCATTTTAATAGACAAATTCATTAATTCTTTTACGGTTAATGCTTCGTACGTTACAAAGTCCTCTATCTTGGTCTAAGAAGTGGTCATCTCTACTTTCCCTGAGGTTTAGTTTTATTTTAATTTAAATCTTTAACGTCTTTTCCCATGCCATAACACAGGGATTGGTTTTCACATTATGCCACACAGATAATTGTCCTGGCTCTAATTATTGTACAGTCTCTTTCTCTGATAGAACATACCACCGAAGTTCATTCCATCTGAGTCTTTCTCTGGGTAGTCTATTCCATTGGAAACCTGCCTGGTCCTTTCCTGAGAAGCTAGGTTTTATTTGGGGGTACTGGGGATTGAACCTACTGAGCCCTGCCACTGAGCCACATTCCCAGCCTTTATTATTTTTATATTATGAGACAGTATCTCACTAAGTTGCCCAGGCTAGCCTCCAACTTTGGATCCTCCTGCCTCAGCTAGGATTATAGGCATGTACCACCATGTCTGGTTAACAACATGCTCTCTTAAGTAACATAACTTCACGGTGAATCCTGCCATCTTGTAAGGCAAGTCCCCACCTCCTGCTTTTTTGTTAATATCCTAGTCCTTTCCTTATTTACGTTAGAATCACCTAAACAAGCTTCATGAAAAAATCTTGTGGGGGTATTCTGACTGAAATTACTTTGAACTTATAGGTCTATCTGGGGAAAAATGACATCTTTATGATATATATTGCCTATCAATGAAAATGTGCACTTGAGATATTATTTAGCAACTTTTTAGAATTATTTCTTGAAGAGGTCAACATATATTGTTAATTTCCAGGGTGATTGGTACTACTGATACTACTGTAAAATGGTGTAATCTGGTTTTCTAGTAAACTGGCATAAAGAAATGCAACTGACTTCTGAAATTAATGTTATATCTGGCCTAACCCTATTATTTCTAGTAATTTCTCTAGATTTGTTTGGGTTTTCTACAAAAACAATCATGTAGCATACAAATGAGTGTTCCTCCCTTCTTTTTATGACTTGTTTTTCCTGCAATGTAATTTCAAATATAAGCAACTATGGGGGTGGGGGTAGCTGTCCTTTGTTTCTGACCTTAAAAGGAAACCTTTTTCCTTAAGTTCCCTCTTTTTGGTAGATGCTTGGTTTTTATTTTTTACCTGTTTGGTTGACTTTTTTACAGAGAAACTATCCATAAGAAATTTCTTTCTAATCCTGATTTAGAAAAATCTCTGTTAATCATGAATGGGTATTTAACTCTATGAATTACCTGAATTTATTACAAAGGTCATAATGGTTTACTCTCATTTTAATGTTAGGGTGATCAATTAAATCTGTAGATTTTAATACTAAACATCTTTATATACATGAATAGGACATGTAAAGTAGTAAGTAAATCATTTCAAACTGAGAAATGGATATTTTAAAATACTGCCTTCATTTATATTATGAAATATTTCATGTTTGACACCTTCACTGGAAGAGATAGCCTCTTTAATAAATGGTGCTGGGAAAACTGGCTTCCCACATGCCAAAGACTGAACCTAGACCCATATGTTTCACCATGCACTAAACTAAAATCAAATGGATCAAAGATCAAAACATAAAAATGGAAACATTTAATCTGCTGGAAGACAGTACAGGCAAAACTCTTGAAGACACAGGTGTAGGCAAAGACTTTATGAACAAAACCTGATTGCACAGTAAATATTACAAGGAATCAACAACTGGGATCACATCAAATTAAAAAGCTTTTTTGCATAGCAGAAGAACCATCAGCAGAGTGAAGAGACAACTCACAAAATGGGAAAAAATTTTTACTAGCTACTCCTTAAAGGACTATATGTAGAATATATAAAGAACTAAAAAAATCAGACCTCCAATCCAAAGTGAGCAACTGAAATGAACAGACATTTCTCGGATGAAGTAGAAACAGCAAATAAATATATGAAAAAATGTTTCAACATTACTGGTCACTCAAGAAATACAAATTAAAATAACACTGATATTCCATTTCACTCCAGAAAAAATGGCTATCATCAAGAAATCACAACTGATTACAAATGCTAGTGAGGCTTTGGAGAAAAAGGAATCCTTTTCCATTGTTGATGGGATTATAAACTGGTACAACCACTATGGAAATCAATATGGACATTCCTCAAAAATCTTAAAACTAGAGGTTCTATTTGATCCAGCTATTTCCCTCCTAGGCATCTTTCCAAAAGAGTTAAAAGCATCATACTACAGTGATATATGTATACCTATGTTTATAGCAGCACAATTTAATAATAGCTAAATTTTGGAAACAGTCCATAAGCCCACTAATAGATGAATGGATAAAGAAAATGTGGTATTTATATACAATGGAGCATTAATCTGCTATAAAGGATAAACTTGAGTCATTTGTAAGAAAATGAATGCACTTCAAGATCATAATTTTAAGTGAAATAAATAAGACACACAAGTTTAAATATTGCATTGTTTCTCTTGTGTGAGAAACAGGAGTAAGAACATGTTCAAATGGGAAAGGGAACAAGGGAGGGGGGGAGAGGAGAAGAAGGGAAAAGGGATTTAAAAGAAAGAAGAGAAGGGAAAAAATAAAAATAAAAACAAAGGGTTGAAGGGAGGGGAGGGAAAAAAACAATTAAGATATGTATAGGTACAAATTTTCTATGATTAACGTGAGCACTGTGTAGGGCAAATATGTACTAATAAATTTTTTTTTTAAATTCCATGTTTGGATTTTGTAATGTAAGTCTGGAACTATAGAAAAAAACAGACTTTTGAGAGTCTTTCTATTCTGTAATTCTCCATTTGCACTGTTCTCCAAATTATGCCCTTTCAATTTCTTTAATCCTGCCAGAAAAAGAAGCTTCTATTAGATATTAATTCAGTGTGACAGAGTGCAGAGCAGAGAATCAGACAAGGTCTAGAAAATATGACATCAAAGTGACAGAAAGTTGTTCTTGGTTCTGAAAAATGCTGAGGTCTTCAACTCACAGGAATATAAAACTGTATCATCACAAAATTAGTTATAAATAGATGTGAGACAAGTAGTACTCTTATCAAATTAGAAGACAGAAAACCAGAAATTTTAAAACATAGAATTAGGGCTGGGGATATAGCTCAGTGGCAGACTGTTGGCTTGTCATGTGTGAGGCCCTGGGTTCAATTCCAGTACTGGGAAGAAAAAGATCAAATAACAAGAAAGAATAAGAGAAAAAGTAACACAAGGGAGATCCTGGCTTTCCTTTTTATTTAATCAAAGACTGGTGGATAAACATAAATACAGCACAATTACTTCAGATCATTCTTCATATTGTACACACAGACCAGTGAACGGGATCTGAAAGAAACCTGCAGTCAGCAGTGAAATGCACACAGCACTTCCTTCCCTTGCTCAAGAAAAGAAAAAAAAAACAACTTAGAATCTCATCAGCACATACTCTCCTGTGACAAATGATTCAGACATAAATAGTGGGTGGAAAGAAACTATATGCTAACTTATGTATAACCTTTGTTAATGAAAAAACAGAAGCAGCCATAATGATTAAGATACATTCATTTACTGATAACTAGGTGTGCCTGAAAGGGCATTATCAAAAGAGAAATCGTGCTGCAGAGAAAAGCTATATATACATACACAATGAGAAAATAAACTGCAAGATTAACGCATGCATGTTTAATACTGGAAAAATCACAGCCCTCCAAAATTTCTCCATGTTATAAAAGCCCTCTGCACTCAACTAAAATTAAAATGATCTTGAAAGGATAATACTTGTAAAGTTTAAGTCTTTTCAGCCACAAAACTGCAATGGAAATAAATGTTCAGTCATTTTCAAAACAAAAACAAAAATCTATTCTTCTGATGACATGCATGATTAAAAGGTCTATGCAAGATACATTGCTCTACATTCCCAGTGACTAGGAAAAAAAAAAACCTCAAGTCAATCTTTAGTTTGCAGATGGTCAAAGAATTCTGTATTCCAGCAGGAGTTCAAATCTTCTGTATCTTTTCACCAACAACTACTGGATTTTCTTTTCTGATTTTCTCAGCAGCATCAGCTTTGTAATTGTAAGAGCAATTGTGCACATCTGAGTAACGGTGTACACCACAGTAAACATTTCCACAGCGGCATTCAAACCCTGAAAAGGGATTCAGACACAAATATGAGATGGGTGGCAGGGAAAAATACTAAGTTCTTTGGCACAATTAGTAAACAGCATTGATGTATTAAGGCAGCAATCTAAAGAATTATTCCAAATAAACAGTTTCACAAACTACATTTCCAAAGTACACAAGCAGAACTTCATTTCTTGTTCCTATCTACAAATCAAGATTTGTATGAGAGCAAATCTTAAGATCAAGGTTCTTGTAGCCACAATTACTTATCAAAAATGGGTTGCTAAATTGAAAATGTGAAATATTTTTAAAAAGCAAAATACTGCATTATAAAATTAAGCATACTGTCAGAAGGCTATCAACATTTAATTAAGAAAGATCAAATAAAACCTCTGAAAGAACTGTTAAAAGCACAGTTTCAAAAAAAGCCCCCCAAAAAACAGCCCATTATCTTCATCAGCTTTTCTTTGTTAACCTCTGGAGATGTGATTATACTTTGGGACAGGATTTAAGAGCATGACATCTAGAATTAGGTTCCTTAAATCTCAATCTATTCACTAATGTAGGCAAATTAACCACTCTGAGCCTCAGTTCCTGCAACTTTAATTCTGGAATAATAAGTTACTAGAAGGATTAAATAAAGAGTGTACTAAGCGCTCAACTTTCAGTAAACACACAACAAATGCAACTTAATTTTTGGGAAATGCCAAAGAATTAAAGCCAAAATAGAGATGTAACAGGTATGCACAGTCGTACTCCCTTGAATTAAGGTTTTATGTTATGATGGAATTTTTGGAACTGTAGCTTAGGAATCAGTATTTTAAAGATGACCCTGATTTTCTTTACATTTTTTCACTTCCTATAATGAAAGAAAAATGAAACAACAGTAGATTGGACTGACAGATTGGACAGGAAAATTGCTAAGGCTTGTAATCATAAAGTCTGAGAGTTATGAGATTTACAAAGATTCTATTTGATATGAAATATGTATACTTTTAAATGTCAGGCTAAGGTATAGCTCAGTGACAGAGTGCTTGCCTAGCATGTGCAAGTCCAGGAGTTTGATTCCCAGCACCACAAAAATAAATAAATAGATAAATAAATAGTGTTGTTTACGTTTGTATTCTTTACATATATACTGCTAACATATAAGCCAGTTTAAAACATCTTGGTATTTGACTCAGATTTCTTTTCCTCTTTTATCTCAAATCCACTCCTTAGCCTGAAGTAATCCGAAACCCAAAGCACAAATTTTACTCAAAATTTTCTCTACTCTACTCTTCTACTTTTTTTTTTTCATAAGCCAGTCTTTTATGTGAAGTATTCAGCCCTTGCCTGGCCATAGTAAACAATAAACCTTGGTGCAAGCCTACTCCACTAGTCAAGCCCAGGACAAGCCTCTAATTTTAGCTCTAACCTGCAGTATGCAACACAGTTCTTCACAGACTCTGTGCTACAGCTACATTAACCAATTCACAGGCTCTGAATATGCCCTGTTCTTCCATTTCTCAGAGCTTTGGTTCAAGCTACTCTTTCTGCCTGAAAAGCTATTTCTATCAGTTGGAAGTGAAGTTTTCCTCATTCAAGACCCAGGTGAAATATCTTGTCTTCGTGTACTTTCCTTGCCAGGCCTCTAGTCCCCTTGTTGTTCTTTTTTTTTGGTACCGGAAATCGAACTCGGGACTTGGTGCTTGCACAGCAGGCACCAGAACCACTGAGCTAAATCCCCCGCCCTAGTCCCCTTCTTTTAGATAAATTAATAACAGTACTCCAGTTCCTGAATTCCTAGAGTAATCTGCACTTAATGTAAGTTCTCTGCTCAATACTTCCAAACATATTTTTCTCCCTTTTTTAACAATACTGACAGCTACATTATAGTAGCTAACATATACTGATTACTGTGAGATAGCACCAGATTAACTGCTTACATGTTTTAACTCACTGAATCTACATAGCCTATGATTTACCTTATTTTATATACAGAAAGTACTTCACAGCTAACCTGGTGCTTTATATCTTTGGCACACTGACCCTACTTGTCTAATATTTTCAAAATCAAGCTGAAATAAATTTTTTAAAGGGCCGGGGATTTAGCTCAGTGGCACTGCATCTGCCTTGCAAGCACAAGGTTCTGAGTTCGATCCCCAGTACCAAAAAGAAAAAAAAAATTTTTTAAGAAAAGTGATTCATTTCACTTTTAGGCATGTAATTAAAGCTATTTTTATTTAAGAAAATCTATAAACTGGGCATGATGCCACATGCCTTTAATCCCAGCTATTAGGGGCTAAGCCAGGAAATCCCAAGTTCAAGGTCAGCCTGGACAATTTAGCAAGATCCTGTCTCAAAATTTAAAAAGAAAGAAAGATCAGTCAATGCGGTGGCACACATCTGTAATCCCACAAGTCTGGGAAGCTGAGGCAGGAGGACTGCAAGTTCAAGCCCATCCTATGCAATTTAGCAAGACCCTATCTCAGTAAAATAAAAGGCCAGGATACAGCTCAGTGTGAGGACTATGGGTTCAATTCCCAGTACTAGGGAAAAAAATCAGACGCTGAAGTGTATCCAACAATAATTCTCAGAGAACAGAAACAAGGTAATTGAAATCAGTAATAACCACACATTTTAAAACACAATTTCATGCCACACGATAGAGGCCCTTACCAGTGAGCCCCACTTTCTTTCTGCACATGAGACAGCGGTTCTTTTTCTGTTTTGGTTTTTCAAGGGACTTGCTTTGCTCTTCAGACGGTTGCTGTGCTGTGTCTGACACTGAAGCTGACAAAAACAGGAAGGTGATAAAGTTTAATTCTTCAGTAAGATTTTGAGACTGGGTGGTGACTGTCCCTTCACCCCACCCTACCAAGCTATTGTTCACAGGGTAAGTGAGGAATTTATTTATTAGCATGAACAGATGTTTGTAAATTACAAAGTTGTTTATAAGATGACCCCTTTTTGGTTAAAGTTTTGTAGATGTATGTATACACATACAGAAAAATCTAAAATAGGTAACTGACATGTTAATAATGACTAGAAGACAGATTATAGATTTTCTGCTTTAGGTTTAAACTGTATTTTCTAATTTTTCTAATAATCATGTACTTGACCCAAAAGACACACAAGCACCACTTGAGTGTTCTAATGGAATATGCAAGAAAATGGCCATATGCAAACTTAATATTGATCAGAGTCAGAATTATATAGATCTCTCTGAGAACAAAGTTCTCAAAATGTTTCACATAAAAACATTTAAAATGTTAGGAAAAAGATAACTGATGCAAAGAAACTTTAAAGTATTAAAATTAAGATATTAAACTGATACCAGTACATACTGAAACCAAGACCACATACATCAAGATTCAGAAAAAAACTGCTACTTCTAAATTCTAACTAAGGTGCCCACCGCTGTCACTAATGATCCCAGCCCTGAGTGCTGTCACCAGGTGAGAGCCCACAACAGGGTCCGATTGATGAGACATCTTGTTCTGAAACAGCCAGTGACCTGCCATGGGTCATGCTCTTAACCTCTCCCATTCATCACTCTATCTAGGCCTCCCAAGAAGTCCTGCAGTGCTGTGCTGCACTGCACCCTCCCTGTACACTCTATAAAACATTCCAAAGGGCTCTCCTTTCTTCTCATTCAATCTAGGTTCTCTTAAAAGGCCAAGATAAAATACCCTTTCCTAGCTTCTTCTCTGCTTCTCATTCAGATAACCCTCAACATGCCCTCGGGCATTTCACATAAGCCCCCTCTTCAATCCACATTTCCCATTCTATACCCCAGCATCTGCCACAGTGCAAATATGGTGATGTCCTCTCCAATGTTTCAAATTCTTTGATGGCTTCCCATAACCCCTGGATAAGGTCCAAGGGTCCTTCAGGGCCCTTGAGAAGCTGTCCTTTCCATGCGGTGAATTCCTCTTAACCAGGCATAGAAACCCTATCCTGCACCCCCCACAGCACTTTTCACACTAGTATAACTGCCTGCTGAACATCACCTCATTAACCTGATTAACAATGGGCTTCTGTCTGAGGGAAGAAACCTATCCTCTTCATCCCTATTACCGGTGCCTATCTTGGTGCCCCTGGCCACTCAATACATTAACTGAGCTACATATCTACTTTATTTATGAGCTCTGTTTCCCCAACTACACTGTAAATCCATTGAAGACAAGGATGGTGTCTCTGTTCAAATCTCCAGCACCTCTTACCATGAACTTCATGAAGTAAATGCTCAAACATTTGCTTTACAGTAAACATTTGAGTTGTGAACTTTCAGATACAAATGGACCTCATGCTACAAACATTCCTGGATGTGAACAAATCATGGAAGTAGCTCACATGTCCACTGGACATTCTCACAGTTGTGCTATGTGCTTACTGTACAGTGCAATAGTGTACAGTAGGACACAGCTCAGTCAGAGCCCGGGATGTCCGGAAGCAAGAGAAAAAGCAGTGATGTGAAGGGGACGACTAGGAAGCTCAAAGAAATATACACTGTGTATCTGTGTCAAAGGTGTAGAAGCCTCGTTTGGTCAGACTTACGAACCAGTCCAACTCAAGAACGTTCTCCTGGAACAGAACTCATTTGTACAGGACTTACTGTAGTGGATTCTGACTTGCTTATGTTAAAACATTATATCTTAATAAAATATAACACCAGGTAAAACATCACAAACAAGTAAATATGCACTAATGAAGAACTACAGTGTGATTACTCCACTAGGACATAATGAAGCTAGAAAACAGAAACTTCTAGTTATATAAATATTTGATCTTTGACACAGAATACAGACACACAAAATCTTTAATTTTTATTTTCAATAAACAAATATTCCTAGAATATGAACTTTTTGAGGGCAAAGGCTCCATGTCTTTTTCTTTATTTATTGAGACAGGGTCTTGCTATGTAGTTCAGGCTGGCCTTGAACTCAGAGTGATACTCCTGCCTCAGTCTCCCAAGTGCTGGGATTATACGTGTGTGCCACCACACCTGGTTTCAGGCTCAATGTCTTGTCCACTGTTATCCCCAGCCCCAGAACAGTATCAAATAAGGTTTGATGTATAGAACTAAAAAATAATTTAACCTGCTATAAGCAATCAATCTGTTATATTTATTGTCTGCTTTAATGGTAGTAATACTATCACAGGTTTTAATATATATGGAATATATTAAATATGTAAGATTTTATCATATATTCAGTACATAGTGTATATGTCACAGGTTTTGTATAAATCACAGGTTTTGCTATATTAAATTTTATATACATACACAAACAAAAGTGGTTTAGCTTCTGAGACACAAACTTCAGTATCTGGAAATGGGGAAAGCAGAATCACATTTATCTCCCATGTGCACAAATTTTATTACATCTCTTAACAGGAACATTTCACAATACTGACCCTAAATACCTAAGGCAAAATGGATTCTTTTTAACTGAGGCAAACACTATCCAAAAGCTTGTAAGCTGCTCAAATTTGGGAACAATAAATCTCAAGTAATTCTAGGATTGATAATTCAATCTTTTAAAGAGCCATACAATGGCCAACAGGCCAAGAGACTAGATTTGTACTAATAAAACCTAAAACTAAAATAAGGACAGTTTCCTCAGAACTAAGTTTTCATATTTGGAATTGAGAACTGAAAACAGAATGCCTGCTTGTTAACAATTAAGAATGGAGGGCCTGGGATTTAGCTCGGTGGTTCGGCTGCCTGCCTTGCAAGCGCAAGGACCCAAGTTCGATCCCCGGAACCAAAAAATAAATAAAAAATAAATAAATAAATAAAATAAAATGTACCAGTAAGTGTTTAAAAAAAAAAAAATTAAGAATGGGTAAATCCACTGTCCTAATAGTCTATTTAGGAGGCCTTTGTGGCAGCATAAAGGCCATGACATAAACTAAGTTGTGCCTGCTGAATTAATTTTTAATGGAAATCCTGAATAAAGTCTATTGGTCACTGCTGTCAAGATATTCTAAAAAACAATGCACAGGTAAAACTGGTTTAATTACCCACAGGTAAAACTGGTTTAATTACCCACATAGAGGATACAGAGGAACAAGGCCCTTTACTCTGGGTCCTGTTAAAAAAAAAGAAAACAGAGAGGAAAGAACGAAGGAAGAAAGGGAGGGAGGGAGAGAAGGAGAAAAGAAAGAAAATAAAGGTAGTGTACAAATATAGTAAGTACAGTACATAAAACTAAGCACTACTTCTGTTTGAGGCATATTTATACACAGGGTGAAAAATAAAACTGAACAGAAAATGGTATTAATAGGTAACCCCTAAAATTATCATGTAATTTAAAACACATATGGTCTCTTCAGAGTCCTGCCAAGTCTCCTCATACAAGTATTAGACTAAGTATTTCCTTCCTTCCTCTCCCCTTTCCCCTCCCTCTTTTGCCTTTCTTTCCTTCTTCTTCTTTTCTTTCCTTCCTTCTCCCTCCCACCCTCTTTCTTTCATACTGGGGACTGAACCCAGGGCCTAAAGCATGTTCTCAAACACTGAGCTGCACCCCCAGGCAAGAATTAGACTGGGCACTTTGAGGCCGTGACTATTTCTGTTCACTTCTGTACACCCAGGGCTGACATAAAGCAACTGCCCAAACATACTCACTGAATCGATATAGACTTTCACAATGACCTACTAGGTAGGATTCACTTCTCTTCTCTGGACATCACTTTCTTATACGTAAAATGAGGGCTTAGACTCAATGAACTTTAAATGACTCCTAACTAAAAAATTCTTTACAAAATGAGAAACATTTCAATACTGGAAGAGAAAAATATGCCTACATTGTTAGTAGCACGCAGAAATATGATACACACACACACATATGTATACAGACACACACATATAATGTCTTTAGGAGCCATAGTAAAAAGTAAAATACATTATCATTTCAAAATGTAATCAATGACAAGTATTAATTAATTTTAGATTTTGGAGAGTATTACATATCTAAAACCCAGTGCATATTTACAATATAACTAGAGCAGTTACTTTACTCTTGACTAGCTGCATTTCAAGAGCTCGACAGCAACGCAAGGCTAGTGGTGATCATATGTATAGAGCAGTTCTACAGAGGACATGGGTTTTCTGTTAGCAGCTATCTGGGGCAAAAACACTGTTGCCTTAGTCTTGCTAACCAGGCCTGGAGCTAAGCAGTTGACCAGATGTTTAGCATGTTATGAGACCTGAGTTCAACTCCCCCCCGCCCCACCACACAAAAACAAAACAAGCCCCCCTCCAAAAATCTCTTCAAAATTATTCTTGATGATTTTCCAATATCTGATTCCGAACAACTTTCCCAGTGTTAGTTCCAACACTTATTTGCCTGAATCAGTGACTGTCTCCTATTTCCCAAATTTCAGGTTTTCCACCTATATACTGGTCTCATAATAACTCCTCCAGAAAAAGCCCTTTTTACTGTCTTTATGGGGGTAATTGAAGATTGGAGGGGATATAATTCATGTATCAAAGCTCTTTAAAATGATGAAATCAGTGATTTTTAGTGTATTTGCAAGGTTATGAAATCACTCTTAATTCCTTAATATTTTAGTCACTCTAAAAGCAACTTTTACACGGAGTGACAATAGCTCCCTACTTTCCACACCTCCTGGCAACTACGACTGTTTCTGTATGTGTAGACTAGCCTCCTCTGAATATTCCATGTAAACAGAATCACAGAGTGTGTGGTCTTTTAAACCTGGGTTCTTTTATCAGAGTAGTAGTTCAATGTTCATCTATGAGTAGAATAAATCAGAACTTCCTTCCTTTTGAGGCTGAATGATATTCCATGTATGGATATACTACATTTTATCTATCCAATTATCTGTTGATGGACATCTGGGTTGTTTTCATGCTCTGAGTTTTATGAATGCTGCTGCTCGAGCACTCGTGTACAAGTATGTGGACACATGCTCACTTTCTCTCCCTCTCTCCTCTCTTCCTCCTTATCCCTTCATTCATTCCCCACCCTCTTTCTGTACTAAGGATTTAACCCAGAGCCTGGAACATGCTAAGTGTGTACCTTACCAGTGAGCTGTACTCCCAGCCCAAGGCATGTTTTCAATTCCCTCAGAAATTGGGAGTGAAAAATGCTAGGTCATATGGTAATTCTATTTAACTGAGGAAATGCCAAATTGTTTTCCATTTTACATCCCTACAAACAATGTATAAAGGCTCTAATCTCTACATATTCTTGAAAACACTTGTTACTGATTATAGCTATACTAATTGATGTGAATATGGTTTTGATTTGCTTTTTCCTAATGAATAATGATGGTAAGCATCTTTACGTGTGCTTTCCGGCAACCTGTTTCTCTTCTCTGGAGAATGTCTGTTCAAATCCTTTGCTTTTTTTGTTTGTTGATTGTAGTCAGTGTCCACTGAGCTACATCCCCAGTTCATTTTATAAATCTTATTTTGAGTGTCACTAAGTTCCCTAGGCTGTCATCCTGCCTCAGCTCCCAAGCAGTTAGAATAATAAGTATGTACCTTCATGCCCAGCTTCCATTTGTTGCTGTTTTAGGTTTCATATTTAAGAAACCAATGCCTCAACCAAGGTCACAAAAATTTACACCTGTTTTAAGAGTTTTTATAGCTTTAATTCTTACATTTATTTAGGTCTTTGACGCACTGTGTGTGAATTTTGCATACAATATGAGGTAAGGACCAATTGATTTCTTTGAGTGTGAATGAGGGTGTCCGAGCAGCATCATTTGTTGAAAAGAGTATTCTTTGCTCACTGAATGATCTTGGCACTCTTGTTGAGAATCAAGTGTCCATAGACACATAAGTATATTCCTGGATGCTCCATTCTATTCCTTGTCTCTGGATGAGCCCCCTCATACCAGTACTACAGTCTTGATTACACTCCTTTGTCTTAAATTTTGAAACTGGGAATTGTTAGTCCTCCAATTTTGTGGTTGTTTTTGTTTGGCTATTTTCATTCAGTCTCCATAATCAGAAGAAATTCCTGAGTTTTAACCTATATGAGCTTTCCTAAATTAGTCTCGAGATCCTATTACTCTAATTGACATAAACAATGCACCTTCATCAAGAACCTTCAGTGTGTTTACCTTGTTGCTCAGTGTAGCATTCCCTTCTGCTTTGTCCTTAATATCATTTGGCTCTCCTAGAACAAACACTTCAGGGATGTGCAGCTTACCAACTTAATACAGGACTTCATTCTACTGTTGCACAGTTTTAAAACTCTCTTTTACTCTAAGCTTCCTGTAACTCTCAATCAGTTGGGCAATATACAAACTAAGAATATCCTCTCCTTACAACTCATTTTACCACTACTATCTCAGTAACTTTTAATATGTATAAGGTGGACAAAGTTATGTTACCATAAAAATAAAAGTAATGTTCACAGAAGTTATCGACAGGGCTGTCAAAACAGACCCCTAAGTCCATATTCTTTTAGTATGACCCAAGACCTGAAGGACTGAGAGGTTAATCAAAGTTAAACACATGTTTAGTAACACAGCTAATCAAGCACAATGGTTTAGAGTACACCAAAATACTTAAAAATTAAAGGTAGCTTTTGTGAACTGAAAATCAGACTTAAAATTGCTAAGTAACACTGCTATTTTTTTCAAAAGTAAAAACATAATTTGACAAACATGCTGCAATATGCTAAATTCTCATTTAAACATGAGAACAATTCTTCAGAGCCATGAGGCAAAAACGAAAGCAGTACCACCCACCTGGGGGCAGCATAACCTAATTATAAACAAATAAGCAGAACATATACAAAGAAAGAAACATTGTTGTGAAAACCTAATAAACAATATTAGGAAATGCTCACTCAGAAACACAACTTCTACTCTTACACCACCTTCCACCAAGATTGGTCTAGCTGAAACAATTTCCCTTGAGGGAAACATCACAAGGCTTGCCAGGAAACTAAGAGGCAGTGGAGGAGTGGTGCGCACCTGCCTCGGAAGAACACACACACATTCACAACCCAGTCCACAAGCACAACAGTCCAGGAGAAAGAATACTAGCCTACAGGTAGCGCCCAGGCTCACTTCCTGCTCAGGCAATCACATGACTGAGTCAAAGAGATTTTTTTTTTTCTTTTTATCCATCTATTAAATAGATGAAGAAAACATTCTCTGAATTTGTAACTATTAAACAGGGTAATCATACATACTTGTGTTATGTGTACACACATTCATAACTGTGTTCATAAAAATGAAGGTATTCTTAATTCAACAATATGAATTAAAACTTTTTTAAAAACCAGAAAAAGAGACTATACACTGAAAATTAATCTCACCTAAAAGTGAAAGGTAAAACATGTACTTGATTTGTTGAAGATAGTTTTGCTGAAATTATGAATGCTAAGTTGTTGTAAGGTATATTAATACTGATTTAACCTACAAGTCATTCAAATCATGTATGAAAAAAGGAGTCTGAACTTTTAAGCACTGTAATTTTTCTTAACACAGCATGAGGACTACCTTTTTAATTAACATACTCAATGCTAGTTGGAAGAAACTAACATTCTGCATATATACCATGATGGTATGAAAGTACTTCATATTATCAGTTCATCAACTCACCATCTTTATTCTTCATCAAGCTGTATAATAACAGCTATCATATCCTCAAAGACATACATATTTTTTAATAAATTCTTTAAAATTTGTTCTCATAAAATATATGTAATGTTTTCACGATCAGCAGCCTGCTTTTTTCCTTCTCAACTTATCTCTCAAGTCTGCTACTCAACCTGTGGTTCCTGTGGTTTTCCTTTAGTATTTATGGCCTGAAACTGACTAGGCAATGAATGGCCTGGTCCTCTGCTCCTTTGCTGGTTCATCCTCGTGCCTAGGACCTCCAGATCTTAGCCACAATACTGATCACACTTTAAAAAAAATCTCCAAATGAGCACTCTCAATTCTGAAATGTGATTATTTCCACCTTACTCTAACCACATTACCTTTCTCTGCCTAAAGCAACAACCATACTACTGTCAGTATGATAAAACTGATAAGTATTTGCTGGGCATGAAAAAAATCAAGGAGAATTAGCTAGCTTTTTGCAGATATAAACCATTATGAATGCCACGCATAATGGAGGGGGTCACTGGCCAGGGCATCTTCTCTTTAACCCATGCTTAAAATGACGGGCAGAGTGATGCACTTTGGGCTTATCCTTCCAGTACCCCGCCTTGGTTAGCACGTTTGGAGAACATGATTAATTAAGTGGAGATGATTTAACAGCCTCCTACATGGCGTCCTCTGCTGTCTCACACTAAGGACATCATTTTGATCCACACAGTGGGGACACGCACAGACAAGAACACAGGGTCCTGGGCTGTGAACACAGGAAACTGATATGAGTACACACTGTCACAGAGGGGCAAAAGAGGTACCTGCCAGATAAACACAACAGTCTCCCTAATAACCAGGCAAAAATCCAAAAGAATCAGGTTCCCCTCAAGTCAGAAACCTCGGTTTGCTTGGAAAGGAAATATTTTTTAGATTTAACTGGCCAAAATAATGAAAAAGAACAGTGTAACACTGCTGCACGGTTATTTAATTATATTTTTTAAACAGAACAAATTTTGAGTTTTCTGTTTATGCTGATGTATATGTTAAAGGGGAAGTAACTCCCAATATTTCAGTCAATTAAATTCTTGAGGTTATATGGTATTCTGTTCATAATGAAAACATCAATACATGTACTTTAAGCATTCAATTTTTTTCAGGCATGCACCTAAGCTGGAGTCTAGCCTACGACAGACACTCAAATATGTCAATAAAAAAAATACATGCTAGTTCATACACAAACCTTGCAGATCTTCTGTTTCAGGTACTGCTTTGTCCACAGATGTACTGTCCACTTGGGAAGATGCTACAGATTCTGATAATAGTGACTGATTTGATACAGAGCTAGAAAAGAAAAAATATTTCCATTTTTTAAAATAAAAACTTATTATTTATGTTTTAAAAAAATGTTTGCTGTGAGACAGAATCTGAGTATGCTGCCCCAGCTTAAACTCTGGATCACAATCCTCCCGCCTCACCCCCAGTGCTAGAACTATAGGTAACTGTCACTGCATTATGAAATATTTCTATTTTAAAAGATGATCTCTACATGTGAATATTTTTTAGGATTTTTTTGGACTTTTATGAGTATATGTTTGCAGTACATAATGATTACATTCACTGTAGGGGATTGGTACATTTGGTACATGTACATAACATGTTTCAATTCACCCTTTGCATCTCTTTTATTTTTCTAGCATCAGGGTCATTTATTTATAAGACCATATAGAGTTAGCATACATAGAGATTGAAAACTAGACTAATGGGCCAAAGAACATATAACACATGCAAGACAATTGTACTAAGTCAAGGTACACTTTCAGATACACTGTCTGGACTGGATTACAATACCTTTTTCTCTTTTTCCTATTATCTGTCTTTTATTTTTAAAAAAAACATATATAAATATATAAAAGGAACCATGCAGCCAGGCATGGTGGTGCATGCCTGCAATCCCAGCACTTGGGAGGCTGAGGCAGGAGGATCACTGCGAGTTTGAGACCAGCCGAGGCTACATAGTGAGTACGAGGCCAGTCTGAACTACATAGTAAGACCCTGTCTCAAAAAAAAAAAAAAAAGTAACCATGCAATATTTATTTAAGCTTGTGTGTCTGAGTTACCTCATTTCACATGTGAATATTAACTAAGGCAGACAATAAATAAGTCAAGTTACTTGAGTGAATCAGTAACAGTACACAGAGGTACTTGTTTCTAATATAAACACAGAGCTTCAGAACTACAGAGGAATGTGGACCAGAAATCTATGCTTTGGAAACAAAGCAAAAGTACATTTCCTTTGTACAATTCAAGTACCACATGAATCCATGACATGAAAACCAGTATGATAAAGACATACTTAAGGTCCCTAAAGCAAAGTGCAAATGAATCCATGACATGAAAACCAGCATGATAAAGACATACTTAAGGTCCCTAAGGCAAAGCTGCAAGTGGTATCCTGGCATAGCAAAACCAAACATCTACCATGAACTGGAAAATGGAATGGTAGTGCAGAAAGTTGGTATACTTGTCACTAACAGAATAAAACTGAAATATGTATTTCTCTATGCAGCCTTCTCACCCTGACTCCAGAGTTAAAAACATAAAACAAATAGGAATGCTGTATCATGGCACTGAATATTATATGTGATAAGACCTTTTTTTTAAAAAAAAATGCAGAACACTAATTCTTACAGACTAAGAGGGCAATTTAAAGAGTTAATTCACTGTGCTTCAAAAGGACATTAGGTGTCAGTCAGGATATGATATGAGGAAGAACAAAGAAAAAGATGTTTGAAAAGGAAATCAAAAGACTTAAAGCTCATTCCCCACGTAAAAACAATAAAATGCTTTTTCTAACTAGTGAATATAAACAGATAAAATTTTACATGCTAATGTAGCTTTATATATAGTCTTCCCTAATAGATCAGCAACAGAATACAATCCAGAAAGTCCACCTTACCTTGGCTGCATAGATGAAGATGTAGAGTCTAATGCTGACTGAGCCTCTGGGACACTGCCATCTGTGCACTGAACTGGTAACGATTCAGATAGACTACTGACAGAAGCTGCTGTAACAGTACCAATTTCATGTTAGTGATTCTATATTCTGGGCAGCCCAAGACCTAATCTAAAAAAATGAAAATCAACTTTCTATAACATATAGTATATGGATTTTGTTTTACTTTATCTGTTGGTTCCTAATTTTTATTTATTTATTATTATTTTTAAATGAACCTTGGGTCTTCACAATGAGCTACATCTCCAGGCCTTTTTTAATTTTTATTTTGAGACAGGGGTTCACTAAATCGCTAAATTGCCCGGGGTTAACTCTTAATTTAGAGTGATCTTCCTGCCTCAGTCTCCCACAGTACTGGGATTACAAGCATGCACAACAATGCCGACTTGTTTCATTGTTTTTAGTTAAAAACTTTGTAGTACTGTAATTTGCCAATGAATTTTTTTTCTGGTGCTGGGGATTGAATCCAAGCCTCAGCATGGGCTCTAAAATGGAGCTATACCTTTAGCCTGAAAAATGTTAAATTTTTTTTTTTTAAGTTTAGGTTCTTTTTTTTCTTTTTGCCCCTCCCTCCCCCACCCCCTCTTCCTTCCTTTTATCTCTGGAAAAAATGTTAACCAAGAAGAAAACCATATTTACAAACTGCATATATTAATAAACTAAATTCCTACTTCTTAGGACTATCACCCAAACCCCAAGGCTTTAATTCATAACACCTTTCAAGTATCAGTGTACGAATGAGATGTTTAAAATAAAAGTTAACTTAGCTGAATTTACAACTAGGTTCATAAGGACCTAATACATTAGGTTGTACTTTGGATACAAAGGTAGGTAATTATTTAATTTAAAAACAATTCATGTTCCTTTGATCTTAGCCTTAAGAAAATTTGGAGATTTTGATGAAATGGTTCTAGTTTTTCACTTAAACATGAAACAATTATAAGACCGCATATAATTTAAATGAATTAAATAACAGCTTATACTTTCATTAATCTACACATTAGCTGGTAACCTATATTAAAACTATCCTATCCGAATAGCTTTGACAATTTGTTTAGCAAAGCTTGTACTCATCCTCATGACCCTTCTTACACAACAGCTGAAACAAAAGACCACCTCAATTCCAGGACAATCCCTTCACACAAAAAGGCATAAAAAACCCAACTGAATGGGTGCTGAGCACTGTTTACAGTGGAGTTAATTTGCCACATTCCTCCTTCCTAATGGAGGCAGGCTTTCTCCAAGGTCAGCTGTGGCTATGTATAATCCTCCATGTATCTAGATATTTTTTCCTTCAACAACTACCTTGGCTGCAAAAGACCCTGCAGATAGAAGAACCAAAGTCCCCTTACAGCCCACACTCCCTTACTTTACTGTCCAAAACAGCTCCATTAATTTGAGGTGTGCCTCTGTTTTTACAAGGTAATAAGAGTTCTTACAGCACATCGAGTTAAGACTATGGAATAACTTCACAGTATTTACAAAGAGCAGGGGATACTCTTATTTCTGACTCCCCACTACTGATCATCATAATGTGTGAGACGAAATTTTACTGAGATGAAGGTGGTAATGCAAATACAATGTGAGAGCAGAAAAGGGTACTGGATACACTCAACTATCCAAATGTATGCAAGTTATGAATACTACTGTGTTTTAACACAGTTACTTACCAGGTGGGCTTATTCTACCACTACTACTATTCTGTCTTTGAAGATGTTCTTTATAGCACACTGAACACATGCCATTTGTACGAGGGTTTCCATAAAATCCGCAGCCAGTGGAACAAAGCATAGGCACCTGGCTGTGATTTGTTTCTTGAGCCATAATCCTCTGGTGTACACCTGAAATTTACATAGTATTAGCAAAGAACTCAGGTACTTTAATTGTACATTATCCAAATTTACTTTCATAATAAAGAAACCCCCCCCATTACATCTTTCTCACCACTCTATATAACTGAACCAAGACATAGGACTGATAAAGACCAATGACATACTATAAACTTTCTCCTGCAACGCAACTTGCTCTACACAGAGGACTGTCCTGACTCAGAAAGTATAACATGTGATTAAAAAATGCAGTTATTGTTGCTTTGAACACACTTATCCCATCATTCTTGCCACTTTCTGAAGCAGTTCTGAAAGTCTTTCATGAGTGTTTTTAGTTGTGGCTACCTCAATATCCTGAATCCATTAAAAACATTTACCTTACCTTATCATTTTGACTTTGAGAAAGTGGGAGAAGTTGTATGGTGCTAGATATAGTGAATCAGATGATGAGGACATACTGTAATGTTTTTATAAGCCTGCCTACTCACTGGATATCACTGAGCAGCAGCATTCACTGTATTTTTATTATACCTTATAAAGACAAAAGAAGATGCCTAAAAAGTGGCAAAAATGATGGGAATAGCATGTTTGAAGCAAGGAAGGGGGAAGTACTTTAAGAGGAATTAATGACAGTGTTTCTTTTATTATAATAAAAAATTCACCACATACTTTGATCACCTCTGTATAAAGAATTCCTACAGAAAGGGAGCTGTTGGGCCCGGGATTTAGCTCAGTGGTTCTGGTGCCTGCCTCGCAAGCGCAAGGTCCCGAGTTCAATCCCCGGTACCAAAAAAAAAAAGAAAGAAAGGGAGCTATTTTGAAGATTACACCATCCAAAATTTAAGGACAACTCTTTAGACTCTTCTAGTAATGAGAAGTACACATTATAGGTTTTGCTGCACGTTATACCACTTAATTTCTAACCATTTAAACTTTTACTCAAAGTTCAGACATTAACTTGTGTGATTATCTGTTTTAAAAAGCATTTAACCATAATAATGATTCTGGTGAAGAAGATATGAAGAGTTGGGCAAAATTCTAGTGAAATGAGAAATCAGTTCAATCATTTTGGAAAGCAGTTCAGCAATTCACCTGAAGAGCCCAGTGGAAAACAAATAGTGCTCTCTGAACCAGCCATTCTCCTTTGTATAATCAGAAATTGAGCAAAAAATAATATACAAAGGATATGCTTCACAGCATATTATAATGTTGATAAACTAAAAATAACCTATCTGTCCAACACCAGGGGAATGGACTCATTAAAATTATGATACATGTTAATGGCAAGTTATGCAGTCATTAATATTTTAAAATGATTTCTGATGGAAGTATATATGAATATATAATATATAGTTGTTAATTAGGACTAAAAGTGCATCTATTAGTCACCAAAAAGGGCAGTAGAGATCATATCCCAGGATTGCAAAAGCAATGATTTTTTCCCCCTGATTTGTACCCTTTCTGTACTTTTAAAATTCTTTACAGTGAAGATATTGTTTGCCCAATTAGGGAGAAAATTTATTTTTTAAGTACCTAAAATTTTTAAAACTACAATTAAAAACTAACAAGGCAGAAGCATCAGTCAAGTACGTGGCACTGAGACTTAGGAACTGTCTGGGAACCACATGAAGGCAGTGATCCATCACAGCAGATGGAAGAACACCATGTGCCATTTCTCCCATAAACCAATTGGCTCTTTGGCATAAATAACAAGACAGATGGTAATAACAGGCTCTTCCTTATTAAAAACAACCACCTCCTAAATGAAGCTTACTCCAGAATGAGTGAATGTGTATTACAGATGAGTCTATGCTCAAAGATCATAAAGAATGAGACTAACCAGAGGAGGCAAATGTTTTGCCATTGAAATTTTCTTGAACTGATAAACACATAGGGAAAGCATTCCTTGTTTACTGTTACCAGGTTTTTTATTCAACTAAACTGTTAAAAAGACTGTTGAGGGGGCGAGGACAAGTTAACACAAATTTCAGAACCAATTCCTGTAAATACACATACCAAATTAAAAGATGACGCTGGTACAGTAAAGCTTATTTCATACCTTTTCTTTTTTGGCCTATGTTCTTGAGGGATATTGGTCTGTAGCTTTCTCTCTTCTTATTATGTTTGTTTGGCTGTGTTATCAGGGCAACTGCTCACTGTCATGAAGCTAATTAATAAGTGATGGAGCTGGGATTCGATCCAGGTAGTCTGACTACAGCAAAGTCCACGATCTAAACCAGCACTTCTCAAAGTGTGGTCCAGAAAACCGCTATGGAGGTCAAAACTGGTTTCGGAATAACACTAACAAGCTGTTTGCCTTTTTATCAAACTGACACAAGCAACAGTGGTACAAAAGTAGTGGTGGATGAAACAGCTGGAGCCTTAACACAGAGTCACACCAAGGTAATAGCACCAAACACTACTGGTAGTTGTGCTCATCAAGTTCTCATGGTGAAAAGCATTAATTTTACTAAATCTTGTCCTATGACTAACTGGGAATCATGCATGAAGTACACTCCAGTTGCACGGGGAGAAATGACAACTCTAAAGAAAAACTGCTTGGGCAGCTACTGCAATTATGAGCTGGCTGAATTATCTTTTTCATGGGATACTTTCATTTGAAAGAATGACTGATAACTCTAGTTATCTCTACTGAAGTATATGGTGGACATTTTCTTGAAAATGAACAAAGTGAACCTGATAGTCCAAGCAACTAAAAGTATTCACCAACAAGGACAAAAACATTCAAGCACTGAAATAAGAAAAAGCCTGACAAGTCTCCCATAGTTGAGTGTTTTGGTGAGATCAATGGTGATATTAATGAAATGTGATTAGCTGATATTGAATCAACTTTTGAAAGATCTTCACAAGTCAGCAAACTATTATTTTGCAAGTACCCAATTCATGAACAAAAAGATCTATTCAAAGTGAAAGATCAATGAATGTTACAGATAAGACAAAAACAAAACAAAACTATGTTTAAGAAACTACCAACCTTGGTATAATATCAAAGAACAACCATTTGCATTATCTGAAAACATTGTTAAGATAGTCTTTTCTTTCCCAACTATGTATGAGCCCAGATTCTGTTCCTTTTCTTTCTTTTTTAGTAGTGCTAGGGACTGAACCTAGAGTCTCAAGAATGCTAGGTAAGTACTCTACCCCTGAGCTACATCCCCAGCTCCAGATTCTTTCTAACACTTTAACAGATTGAAGAGAAGTATGAGAATCTTGTTATTATGCCTGATCTTAAGGAAATTTATGAAAATATGCTAACAATGCCACTCATCACTAAAAAGAGTGTTGTGTGTTTTGGGGGTGGGGGTTAGATTTTCCATAAAACCTTTTAAAGCTGGGCCAGGGATTTAGCTCAGTGGTTTCGCCGCCTGCTGCGCAAGCACGAGGACCCGAGTTCGATCCCCGGTACCAAAAAAAAAACCTTTTAAAGCTAATTAGTAAGTACTTAAATTTTTTCACAGCTTCATTTGTAATATAATAAATATCACTAGCCATAATCCTCATAAAGAAAAGCTCTTCAGAGTATTCACTAACTTTAAAGAACATAAGATCCTGAAACCAAAAATTTTGAAAACTTTTTGCTGCAAAATGTGCAGTCTCAACACAGGCAGTAGCACCTCAAGGGGGCAAACACTGATTCTCTGAAAAAGGAAGGGACCAAAAACCCATTACCCTTTATGTATAAAACCAGAAATATCTCCAACATATAAACAGATATATAATATTATCTGCAGATTTAAACTTTTATGGAGGTGGGGGCCAGTTAGAAAAAAATAGTTTAAAAGAGTTCCTTGGGGTAACAGATAATACAGAAAAAAAGATTAGGAAACACCAGTCTAAACCATCAACTATACTAGGGCTACCTATTAATAACATTAAAATAATATAAGATAGGAATTAAAGGAAGTTTCCCTTCTGATATTGATAATCTTTCAGTATTATGGCTGGCAATCACAAACACCCAGATGTGATAAATATTCTACTTGTATAAAAACTCAAGTACAGTAAATCGTCACAGATAAAAATCAGAATACTTACTTCAAAACAGTAAGATTAAAATGTTAACATGACCAATTTTCCCAAGCCAAACTGTCCTGCACAGCAGCAAATTAACAATGCTTTTCACAACTTAAGAGGCACAAGAGTTCATAGGCAAATGAAAAAGAATCGACCTTATTTACTCATCTTTAGGACATAAAATGTACCTCTACATGAAGATCCAGAAAGACCAAAACCATCAGAGTAGTAAGTTTATCCAAGTATGTGCTGGTCCATATGGGTGGTCACAGACAAGCTGGAAGTCCTGCTCCCCTCCCCTTGCAATGTGACCTTTATGGTGGGTAGACAAGGTACCAGGTGCATCAATCAGGTGTCCCAAATGATCATGAGGAAAATGGGAACGAGAAGGAGGCAGAACAATTTCTTAATTGCTGTACTGTGGGATTCTGAAGCTATAAATCCAAGAAGACAAAGAGTAAGACACACTACCAGACATATACACAAAATCAGTAAGGATGGTATTAATAAGTTTATGAAGAGAATTCATAAAACCTGAGTTCTGATTCGTAATCAAAATCATCACGTATTATTCCCTCTAGCTCCCGAGACAATACTTAATAGCTATTCAGAGTTTACTATGGGGCAGGAACTATTTTTATTGTTTTATTTATATATTATTTAATCCTCTCAAGAATCTTCCATATTGGCACTGATATCCTTGTTTTAAAAAAAGAGAAAAATTGGGCCAGGGATTTAGCTCAGCAGTTTCGCCGCCTGCTGCGCAAGCGCAAGGACTCGAGTTCAATCCCAGGTACCAAAAAAAAAAAAATGAGAAAAATGATACTCAAAGTAACTTGGTTCAAAGTCACACATTTACTAAGCAGCTAAGTGCCTTTTTATTTTAAATGTGAAGAGAATGACTGTTCAAGTCCATGATATCCCTATAAACCTACAATTCTGTGAGCATTCATTATTAATAATTATTATTTAAAGATTTAAAATTTCATTCATTTGTTCAATCTTTAGATATTATTTAGCTTTAAATAGCTGTAACTGCTCTGAGAAAAAGTTAATGTCTTTTTACCTAACAAAATAATTCAGGATTAAAGAATTCAAGATTTTAAGACTGCAAAGAAAATTCATTACCAACTATTAAAAATTTTGATGAAAAACAGCAATGACTGCATGCAACATACTCAATTATAACAGCAAATATGTGTCAATTTAATTTATCTCCTTTGCTTTATTTCCTAGAGTTGTCATCAAGATCCAATAATTTTATTTTTGAAATATCTCATGTTCCTTTATTTTTCTTTCCAATTGTGCTTTTCTTCCCCTTATACCTGTGGGGTTTCTGTTGTTTTTGTGCTAGGGTTTGCAGCAGGGCCCTGGTGTATGACTCCAGTGCTAAACATTTTAAATTTTCCTTTTAGACTTACTTCCTCTCCTCCCAATCTATTTATTTAAATTCTCCTGGAATATCCAGTTCTGTTTCAGTTATTGTATAACTGCCCCCCAAGAGAAGTATTCAACCTAGCATTCGTGCTGTCCATAATTTACCCCAACCAGACTAATTTCCTTGAAAAGTATGCTGTGTGAAAGAGACTCCTTGGACTTAGGCTGGCAACAGTTCAAATCCCAGCTTTGTCGTTTTTGTCTGTTTTGCAGTATTGGGAACTGAATCTAGGGGTGCTCTACCACTGAGCTACATCCCTACTCCTATTTTATTTTCAGACAGGGTCCCATTAAAATTGCCCAAGCTGGTCTTAAACTTGGGATCCTTCTGTCTCAGCCTCCCAGAGTGCTGGGATTACAGGCATGTGCCACCATGCCTGTATTAGTTTTAGCATTTTATTATCTGAAAGTGCCTGAACAAGTACTAGATCACCCCAGTTTCAACATCCTAAGAGGGCACTAACATCCGCTACCTAACCGGATTAAATAGTGCATACAGAGAGCATCTAGACAGAGACTGGCACAAGGCAGAAGCCCAGCAACTGCTCTTAAATCAGCTCTGCCTGAAAGCAGAGGCCCTTCGCTCCCTTCCAAACATACTCTTTCCTAGAAACAAGAACTTTTGTACACTGCCCTTAACAATTCAATCTGTTTGTAGAAATCAGCTCTACATTCACAGAAGCCGACTGTGCTACCCTTTCGGGGCTCCTTCCCTACCACTGTAGACACAACACATTTCCTACCTAAACTTCAAGTTCCTTCTTCAATCCCCTTTATGTCTAATATGATTTCTACAAAATATCTTACTGGGTAAGTATTCATGTTAGGGGGAAAATGGTTACCAATTCCTTGAAAAGGGGAAAAAAATATACTGAGGAAAACTTTCACACTGTAGTATTCATACAAACAGCTATTCAGCAAGAATGCCGAAGAGCCTAAGGCAGATATAAAATGCCTATCTATTTTTTACATTGTGTTTTTCTTTCTCCTCCTAAAGGGAACAAGGGAGGGAACATAATTTATAATGAATTATCTGAAGTTATGAACCGATCAGCTTGGGTTAAATCAGACTCAGTCATGTCTGACTGGCTAGCACATGTTAATTAATTTTAAATTAACTGTTACTATTCAACAATTGGGGAATGTCACATAAAAATTACAGATTTCTAGATTTTCTTGAAAATCAAAGAATAGAAAAATTCTGATCTCAAAATTAACATTCAGCTAGGGCCCTATTAAGTGGGGCCTGTACTCTCCACCTACCTTCACTATTGGTTACTTGACTAATCTGACTTTTAATCCCTACATTAACAGCTTTGTCCTCTTACTTTGGGATCTTTACTATTAATTTCGAGAAGAAAAAATTACCCATGGAATAGTGACTTATATAAGAATGCAAATAAACTCTGAACTAGTACTACAGCCTGAAGTGGTAAGAAAAGCCCTTCCTACCTTTGCCCTTTTACTAGTCACTGGAAAACTAAACACTTGGCTAATGCTCTTTGCAACTATATCAAATGGAGATCCCAGAAGAGAGCAAAGTACAATTTGGGGGGGGGGGTGTCAACAACTGATGCAAAGAGGAATACCCAAGCTGACACAGGTGCATGAAATTGCCATTTCCTGGTGGCACACAGTAATTTCCCAGAGTTCTAAGCATCCAGGTCTAGAGCTATCTATCCTATGAGCAATATATATTACGGTGGAGGGGGAATATGTGCATTTTGCTCATATGATAGTTTCTTTATAGAGATAACAAAAATACAAGAAACTTTACAAGTTCTCTTTTCCTAAGTGCCAGTTTAAAGTTTCTGTGCATGTTTTGTTTGGCTTTTGCCTGTTTTGTCTTCTGTTCTGTGGCTTGTCTACCATTTTTGTTTGTTTGGTTTTTTTTTGGTACCGGGGATCGAACTCGGGTCCTTGCGCTTGCACAGGAGGTGGCAGAACCACTGAGCTAAATCCCTGGCCCTTGTATACCATTTTTAATGGAAATTCATCTAAATCTATTTTTTAAGTGTTCCTTTTTATAGTTAGTGCTTTTTAGATGTTACTTAATACACTTTTGCCTACTCCAAGGTCATGAAAACATTCTGTATTTTTCTTCTAAATTTTGTTTTATGTTTCATATTCAGATCTACATCCATCTACAGTTATATTGAGTGTGCATTTGTGTGTGTGTGTTGTTGTGTGGTACTGGGCAACAAACCCAGGGCCTCACACATGCCAGGCAGGTACTCTACTGCTGAGCTAAATTCCCAGCCCTTTTTATTTTTATTTTAGACAAGGTCTGGTTACACTGGACAGGTTGAGCCTCAAACTTATGATTCCTCCTGCCTCTGGCTCCTAAGTAGCTGAGTATACAAGCATACTTCACCATGCCTGGCTGAAGCAGATTTTTTTTATATGGAATGAGATAGGTGTTTTTCCCATATATGGGTATTTAATTAACCCAAAACATTACCTAGTACAACATATTCTCATCTTTGTCCACATGTCTGGTATACATGTATATCTCTTAATTCTGTTCCAATGGCCTGTCTACCGTGTTTGAAACTACTGTAGTTTATTATCTTTAGGAATATCAGAATCAGTTATTAGGAAATGAACTTTATCAGCTAAGGATAACTGGCAACAGATTTGGGTGTTCTTTCCCATATTTCATTAGTTATTCTTGTCTTTTTGCATTTTCATATAAATTTTAGATTCATCAATTTTTACTTAAACAACATAATAAGTAATAAATTGATTTAAAATTGTGTTGAGGGCCAGAGATTTAGCTCAGTGGTTCCACCACCTGCCTCACAAGTGCAAGGTCCCGAGTTCAATCCCCAGTACCAAAAAAATAAATAAATAAAATTGTGTTGAATCTACACTGCTATATACACTGTATATCCTTCAACTTATTTAGGTTTTCTTTAGGTTTGCAGTAATGTTGATTTACAGTACTCAATAAAGAGTTCTTGCATATCTTTAATCCCCAGATATTTTATTTACTTAAAACCTACTACAAGTGGTATCTTTTTTTTTTTCTTCCAGTACCAGAGATAGAACTCAGGACCTTGCACTTGCGAGGCAGTCAACGGAACCACTGAGCTAAATCCCCGGCCCACGGTATTTTATTTTTAAATCTCACTTTCTGTTTGCTTGCTGATAACCGCCAGTGTATTACTGGGCAATCAGCAGAAAGCCATGGACATGACGGTCTGTCACTTCCAAATCTAGGCTGTAAGAGGCATTTTCTCTTCTTGGTAACTCATTCTGGGAAAGCTGGTTGCCATGTCTTAAGGAAATGCCATGTGGTAAACAGGGAGGCCTGTGGCACCAGCTATGAGGAAACCTGGAAGCAGGTCTTCCAGACCTAGTGAAGTCCTTGCTTGGGTGACTACAGCCCTGGCTGACATCCAGACTGCAACTCCATTGGAGACCCTGAACCAAGACCATACAGCTAAGTCATTTCTATATTCCTGACAGAAACTATGTGAGATAATGGATGTTTTAACAATATTCATTGTAGCTGTAGCTCAGAAGAAGAGGCCTTGCCTGGCATGCTTGAGCCCCTGGGTTCAATCCCCAGCACCACAAATAATACTAAATAAGCATGTTTTAAAATATACAAAAACGTTTTAATTTTGATTATTTTAGGCCATTACATTCTGCCACAATTTGCTATGTAGCAATTGATAACTAACACAATTACTGGTTATCTAAGTCTCTGCTTCTGTTCTTGCCCTCTGATAGTCTGTTTTCAACGAAGTAGCCAGTGATCCTGATGATCTAAATGAAATCACACTGTTGCTTAGTCAAAATCCTCCAAATGTTCCCCAACACACAAGGAGCAAAAGCCAACTTCCTTGCCATGACTTCAGGCTCTCATGATCTGATACCCTGTTGCTTGACCTCTTCTTTTAGTCCTCCCTATCAGACACACTGCAAGGCCTGCCGTGTCCACTCCACTCCTGTCCCAAGGCCTTTCTACCTGCTGGCCTTCTATTCTCCC